ATATGGGTCTAAAGCAGTATGCTATAACAATTGATCTTGAGTCGTCCGCTTCCTTTTAAAAAATATATATAATGTAAACTTCCATTCTATATATTAATGCCTGTATTCATTTTTTCTTTCTATTATCGTTGATTTTGTTCATTTAAAATTCTTTTTCTTGTTTTGAGCTTTTGTACCCAAAAAAAACGCATTTTCAACAGTTAAAATTCTTAAATTTTTAGTGTTAAAAAATTTTCAACTTGTTGCTACCAAATTGTTAATTGGCAACACATATTTTATTTTATATGTAAACTAAATAAGTTTATTATTTATTAAATAAATTTTATTAAACTAAATTTATATGTAAACTAAATATATTTCTATATAAATGTATTAAGGATTTGGAGATGAGAAAAGTTGGATGTCATTCCTCCATTTTATTAACATCATCGTTTTTTTTAAGGACGTCATAAATCCATCGTGCAACCGATTGATCCGAATGGGGACGAAGAGTTGGGGTTGATATGCTCTTTTGACACGCCATAACCTCAATTTGTTGTTGTTTTTGGAAAGATTTGATTAAACATTGGCAACTCTTTAGGGCTAATTCAATATGGTTGTTCAAATTAGTTGCCTAACAAACAACAACAACAACAACAATAATAATAATAATAATAAGATAATATAATAATAATAATAATAATAATAATAATAATAATAATAATATGGATGGATCAATACCATTTGTGGTAAAGGTGTCAAAATCACACGTGGGAATGATTTTTCAAACATGTAAAATTAATGTGTTAGGATTAAATCTTAATACATTCATATTATAAATAGATTGACTTTTTTATAATATGAATTAAAGCAAGTTATGTAACAGATTGACTTGCAATCCATTTAATTAAATATATTGTGAAATTGACCTAAAATATACTAATAGTGTAAGCTTTTGTAATATTAAAAATAAATAAATATATATCCAATACTATATGTTAAGTGGATCGTATTGAATTTTAAAATCTTTCTATGATACACTTAATTAAACATATTACATATATTGTGTTTATATAATTTATTTAAATTTTGTATCATCTTAGAATTTAATATTTAATACGATTAATAAATAGATAGTGTTCATATTAACTTTAATTGTGTCATTGTATCATATCAATTCAATAAGAACATAATCTACCAATCTATTTGAATCGACAAAAACACTATTCATCAACCTATTTTGACATTCTGCGTTAAGGGTGATACATAATCGGTTTGTAATTAAAATTGAATTGATCCAGTTCATTCTAATTTGATGAAATATACTGCTAATTCGATCATCGTCAGAGAAAACCATCTAATATTTTGTCTTTGTTCAGATATCATACATAGTAATCGAATTTACTTTATTGCATAAAATAATTGATTCAATTCAAAATAAATTGAATCAAACCTAAACCGATTCAGTTGGATTTTATTTGTGTTTATAATATTTAGTTTTTGGTTTGGTTATCACAAAAAGACATGTGGTTGAGTTGAATTCAGTTCCATTAAACCTTATGCTGAACCCTATGTATTATTTTACCGTTTCCTATAAATGCTATTTGCTTTGGAAATCTTCTTCATAAATTTAATTAAGTGATGAGAAAAATTGTTAGGGTAGCTAAGCTGTTAAATTAGGTTATTAAATATCATTAAAGCAACAAAATGAAAGTTGAACTTCCTTAGTAAATTGAGAGTTGGATCATTATATTCCGCCATGAAATTGGGTAAACTTAAATTTTCTTAGTTATTCTTTCACCTTCCCTTAAACCTTACTTTTTACTTTCTGCTTTATTACACCAACCATTACTAGTCAAGTACTAAATTAACGCCCTTTTCATACTAATTATTGTTTTTTCCTTTTTTTTAATTAATTTCTAATATTCTAAAGTAAAATAACATATATTATTGAATGTGAATATAAAAAATATAAAGATAAATAAAAAAAATTACAAGGGACGAATACAGAAAAGAAAAGATTAATAAAATAGAATATATATATATAGGGACAAGTGACAGAGAAAGAAAATGAATTAATAAAATAGAATAGGGGTATATAGGAATATATATATAATAATATGAGGTGATGAGTTTTTGGTTTTTTTTGTTTTAGAAAAAAAGATTGGCACCAAGAACTTATGCATTAAAGTTGAGTTAGATAGTTTTATTTAATATGGGTTCCACATGATGATGTAAGCAAAAAGACCGTTCCAACTTAAATAATCTTAAAGGATTTAATATAGTCACTAAGGGGCTGGGTCAACGTGAAAATGATTGCGTAAAATCAAGTGAAACTATTTGTGAATTTTTTTTTTTTTTAAAAAAAAATTGGCACTCAAAACTTATCATTATTAAATTAATATTTTTATTTAAATGTCACATGATGATGTAGCAAAAAGACGTTCCAACTTAAATAATATTAAATGATTTTAATATATCACAAGGGGCTGGGTCAACGTTGAATTTGTAAATCAATGAAACTATTTGTGAAATGCTTGAAGTTCTATTTCCGTAAGTCCAATTTCAACCACTCATGGAACTCATTTAATAAGTAGTTGAGCTCAAACTCAAATTTGAATACGTAAACGAGTCATAATAAATTTTTATTATAATTATAAATGAGTAGAGTTAAAATTTTATTTTTAACTTAATATATTTTTGAAAGGATAAGGTTTAACTTAATAGGTTTAGTTGACTAAATTTATTCCTAATCCTAGTCAAAATTAATGGAAAATATTTAGTTAGATAGAGTAAGTTTGCGTGAAATATTTTCTAAAATTTCTTAATATATTATAAATAATTAATTTTTTTATGAATTAGTATTTATCATTGATTTTCAGACTTAGCACCATCATCAAAAAGAGCCTCCTCCTATTATGGTTCGTAAAGGATGTATTAGTCCTCCATACAATACGTGTCTAAAACGACGATGAGCCATAATGGAACATTATGTGAAATAATAAGAACATTGTTAACGTAAACATTGCACAAAAAATAACTTTGATCAAAATAACTTTATATTCCATTATGTTGACTAAACATAACCTAAGTTTTTTTTTTTTTTTAATTTCCATATTTTGGAAGAGATGTCTATTCATGAATTAAATTAATAAAAAATAATATTTTATTGAAACGAAAGTATTTCTCACTATACTTAAAAAAATATAATATTTTAAAAAATCTCTATTTTATTAATTTGCTCCATGAGTGAGCCCATAAATAGGGTCTAAACAAGTCTAATCTATATAAAAGTATTACCTCCATTCCTAAATATTTATCCTATTTGAAAAAATATAATATTCTAAAATATTTGTAACATTTGTGATTTCAAGTAGTAATAAATTTTCTTTGTCATGTTTACCCTTTATATATAACCAATAATTACTACTTCAAATTTTCAAACTGGTGTTTAGATATATTAAATTAAGGATAATATATTCAATCTATCTAATAATTTATTGTAACTTAAACAAATTTAATAATTTTCTAAAGACATGAAATTACAAATGTGACAAGTATTTAGGAATGGAGGTAGTATATGTTACTATGACTGAAGTTGATACTACCTCTTTCGATAATACTTATTACATTTGAAATTTCACGTCTCTTAAGAAAATCATTAAATTTGTCTAAATTATAAGAAATTATTGAGTAAATTGACTACATTACCCTTAATTTAATACTTATTCTCTAAAAAAATCATTAAATTAAAGTAATAATTATTAGTTATATACAAAAGATAAACACGAAAAAAAAATTTGTTATTCCTTAAAACTATAAGTGTAACAAATATTTTAAAATAAATTATTTTTTAAAATATTCGTGGTAATACGTGATAGTTCGTCGGTTAATTTAGTTTTTAGGAAAACAAGGACGCAAAGTAAGTTACTTGTCCAAGTTGGTAACCCTATTTTTGCAATAAATATGACGAGAACGGAAAGGATAGAATTTGCTGATTTGGCGAAGAGTTTCCAAAGTTCATCAGACACTCAATTTAATCATTCACTACTACCAAAACATGGTTGAGTTTTTTTTTCTTAGGAAAAGTCAACATTCAATACCTCTTAATGAATGAAATTTATAGTTTGATATTTAGTACATCAGCAAATTAATTGTTTCAACAAGAACTTGCAAAATGGAAAAATATTGGATCGACCACATTTGAGACACTATTATAAATAATTCAAAACATTTTATAATGGGTTAATTATTTTTTCTGTCCCAAAACATATAATATCACTTAAGATTTTTACACGGAATCAATGATGAAATTGTAAAATAATTATTTATAATTCTTTAAAATACTTAAATACATACATTATCATAGTAAAGCGATATTATGATGGGTTTCAATCATCGATATTATTCTCCAATATATATTTAACTCAAATCGACTATACTTTCTTTATCTAGACAAAACTTACCTGGATCGGGTTGATGGGTTTATTCATAAAACAAACCAGTCAAAATAGAGAACAAAAGGATTTTAAAGTTCTAACCATTTTGCAAGCTTAATTTTTTTTTTCTAATTTTTGAACTATATATAATCGGGTTGATGGTTTTATTCAGTAAAACAAGACCAAGTCAAAAGATAGAGGGAACAAAAGGACTTTAAAAGTTCTAAACCATTTTGCAGCGGTAATTTTTTTTTTTCTAATTTTGGAACTATATAGTAGTAGGTAGGGTATTATATATAGTATAAGTATATATATATAGTATATATATATATATATATATTAGATGGAAGGATTTAGAGAATTAGCAAGTTTAGGTACCAGGGGCTAGCAATATGGTCAATTAATATATATGGAAATTAGAATTAGCAAGTGTTAGGTACAGCTACATATGGTAATTATTTGTTTATTTGACGTACAATGTTGAAAAACAAAAATTAAAAAGGGACCAAATTTGCTCCGTTAATTTCAACTATATTTTCTTTCAATAATTAAGTACAGTTATTATTCCTGCTTATCCTCCACAATTAATTAATTATAATTAAAGAAACCTCATTTCGCCATTCTCTCTCTCTATATATATAACAACCAAATATCCAAATTGAACATCACAAAGCTTTCCTGACAGATTTTCTTGGTAGGCATATCAGCTGTATATATATTTTCAGTTCTTCAATCATCTTTTTTTCTAATATACTATTATTATTATTGTTTCTTTTTGGTACGAGGAATTAATTATTTTTTTTTTATATCAGATTTGAAAATGAGTGGAAGAGGAAAGAAGAACCCAAAGTTGGAATTGAAGCTGAAGTTATCTCTGGCCAACAATGAAAACGACGAAGCTAAAGAAGAACAAGAATCTGCAGGTGGTGGTTCATCGTCGTCTGAATTAATTATGTCACCGAAGAGTTCATGCGTGTCATATCAAGAAACGACAAGTAGTCCAGAAAGCAGTTCATCTTCACTGTTGCTGGTCGGTTGTCCTCGATGTCTCATGTACGTTATGCTGTCAGATGTTGATCCTAAATGCCCCAAGTGTAAGAGCAGCGTTTTGCTTGATATTCTCAACGAAGATCTTAACACCAAGAATTAATTAATTATTAAGACTACTTATCATTCATTAATTAACTCTTCTTCTCCTTCTTCTTCTGCTTTTATAATTTTTCTTTTCACTTTTATTTCCCATATGTGAAATCAATTTAATTCGCCTTTCTTTCTTTCTTTTAATTATTTATCTGATTTTTTTTTTTTTAATTTGTACTCTCTATATATATAGTTTGTGCCTTTTTTCTTAGTCAATTAAGCTTTATTTTATTTTATTTTATTATTAGGAGGTCCAATGGGCTCTTTCCCTTCATTTACCAAATTGGTGAAAACTCTTACAATCGAGAGAACTTGAACTCGAAATCTTTTACTCCTTACACTAGTGAGAAGACCAATCAGATTACATATAGTTGACTGTTAATTAAGCTTTTAATATATGGTAAACAAAGATTTATTCGATCTATAATGTTCTCTACTACGCCACAAGAAAGACATGAGGTATATATAGCTTAGACTATATATGGCTGCACGTGGGTTGAGTTGGATCAGGTTTATCGATTTAGAGTATTTAACTCGTATGTACAGATTAGCGATTTTTTTGACCTGATTCAACTCATTAAATTTATGAACATGTGGGTTTGTGAATGGATTGAGTTATGCACAAATTCAATATAAACTCGGGGCTCAAATAAATAATAAAAAATAAAAAATATTTTTAAATAAATAATAATAATTCGAAAGTAATTACCAACAAAATAAATTTACTTAGAAATATAATTATACAGTAATTTTCATAAACCATAAATATATTTTAACAACAATAAATTTATTTTCTTAGTAATAATAATAATAATAATAATAATAATAATAATAATAATAATAATTAAGCAATACAATGTAAATAGAATTTCCTGATAAAAAAACAATCTAACAAAATTAAAACTACTTGGTAATGTAGTTATATAATATGTTTTAAACTGCAATATATTTCAAAAGCAATATTAAAAAATAAGTTTATACTAAAAAAAAGCAACAATTAAAATGCAATTACTAAGTAACTAAATAATTTAGTATTTATATTTAAAATTATAAATCAAAATTAAATTAATTTAAATAATATATATATTATAGGTTTCATAAGATATGCGAGTTTATTTAGTAAATCCATGACCTAATATAATTTATTAATAATAAAAAAAGTCCGTCCAATCCAATCTCTTCTATTTTCAAACTCACCCAAATTGAATTGGGTTAAGTTGGATTACTCGGATTGGATGGAATTAAATTAGATCAAGTCCAACCTTACATATATATATTTAACCAATCGACCAATCCAGTTGCTTTCATACACTCAACTTTCCGGCGGTGGTTCAACCACTGTTCTCCAAAGTTTCCAAGTTCAGCATCAATTATGCTCATCATTGCTATCAGAGCTGAATTAATATATAATTGATATTTTTCAAATTTTTAATATTAATATGTTCTACAAAATAGAAAGAAAAGAATCTAGCAGAGAATTCCAACTTTTAAAAGTGTAATTCGGACGGTATGGACTGAAATCACCCTCGTTCTCATTCTAAAATATTTTGAAATTTAAAATTTCATTCCACTCTGTTCCAAATTTTTTTTTTAAATTTAAAATTTCATTTCATTCTATTTTACAAAAATTTAGTTTGAAATTCAGTAATTCCAAATTTCTCAACTGTAAACACAAATCTAGTCTATTGTGATATATTTTAAGATATAAAATTTTAAAATTTAACAAAAAAATCAATATAATTATTTAAAATTAGATATAGATATTAAAAACACAGTTAAATTGCAACAAAACAATAAATTCAAGTTTATTGACGAGGAAGGAGGATATATCTTCACTTGACAATTTTCCATTTAATTAGTAAAAGAAACAACAAACAGAGAAAATATAAAATTAGTGAGATAATGAAATAGATATAATAAAATTCAAAAATTCAAAAATTAGAAATTAGAAAGAGAAATAAGAATTAAAAGCAAAAAACTGGTTAAGAGAGCAATTTATATAAAAAATTTCAAAAATTTTTCAAAGTTGATCATAAAAAAAAATTTCTTATCAAGCACAACAAAAAAAAGGATAATATTTTATCCTAATCACTTGATAAGACTCAAGAAGTTCGATGATAAACATGCAAATTATGACTCTGTAAAACATATTTCGTTTTTTTAATTGACTCTTAGATATTCAAGCATATATTAATTATTACTTATAATTAAAATATTTCATTTTAGCATATAGTTTTAAAATGAAATAAGAGTTTCTTCAATATTAAATTTTGAAAACATTTTACTCAAGTTAATATTTTATTATTAAAATATATAATTAAAATTAAAAATGAAAAAAATAAAGGTTCGGTATATGAATATGAAATTTTCTATTAGTTTTTCATTCTATATACCGATATTTTAAAAAATGAACTCCAAAGGCTGTATAATTAAAGTATTTATAGCCACATACCAAACGAATGGAGCAATGGCATAATATTCACGTGCGCATGCCCCTCCCTCTATTTTGCTATTTATTAGTTCAATAAGATGAGTTTAATTATAAATTAAAAAACAAATTTCATACATCCAATGTGGGACAATGATATTTTTGAAATACTTCATTATTTTACAACAGGTTTTGCCCTCTTCAAGTTCAAGAAATTGTATTTACAAAGAAAAGTATAATGACATATTAACAAAATTAAATATTTATTTATTTTTATATCAAAAAATATTTTCAATTATATTATATTCCATTATGATTTACCAAATATAACTTTAGTATTGCAAATTGCTACAATTTTATTCACGTCATTGTACTCAAACAACAAAGGACTTTTCCTCCATATATCATATCTTACCGGTAATACTTTCAAGTATACATTATACTTATATCTCATTCAATTACAAAGAGTTTGATACTCAAAAAAAAAAAAATATTAGAAAGAGTTTGTCAATCAAATATGTTAAACCAAATTAATTAACCAACCAAAAATAGTATCAGTTTGATTAATTTTTTTTCCATTGAATCATTTTTCTTTTCAAAAAGTTTTTATTATTGAAAATCAGAAACTGATTTAACCAAAATTTTAAAAAACCTGAACTAAATCGATTAATAAAATCAAACCAATTGAAACAAATTAAATAGCGTCTGTTAAGTGCGATTTTTTATTAGAACCAAAATATACTCATCCCCAGTATTAGATTTGAGCCTTCCAATCATAAGATTTTTCACCATAACTATTAAAGAGGAAAAGTCACGTCCTACCACCTTCTTCGTAGCATTACACGAGGTCTAAATTTAGGAAAATAAATTCTGATCCATAGGACCACACTACATTTATGAATGTCGGAACAGTACCATGTTGTTGATGAATTGAAGAAGGGGAACCCACCTGAGTTACTTCAAATTTAATCAGAGAGATTAAATGTTCACAACCATCAACTGGCAGTGACCATTAAAACTTCTAGCCTTACCTTCTTCATGTTAATTAGTCATTTATATATTTTACTTCATAAAAATACGGTAATCTTATCATTCAAAAAAAAAAAAAAAAAATTTACCTTCTTCATGTTAATTAGTTCAAATTATATATTTTACTTCATAAAAATACGTAATCTTATCATCAAAAAAAAAAAAAAAAAAAAAAAAAAAAAAAAAAATTACAGTAATGTTAACTACCAGAATTGTTCTCGTTTGGAATAAATTTGAGATATATATATATTAGAGTCAAGATAAATTATATTAGGATAAGAATTATAGAAATCCTACATGACCTGTTAGTTAGAGTTTATTTAGAAGTCTAATATCCTTTAATATATTTATATATTGTTCTTTAATGTATTTTATTATTGTTTACTATCAGGTAATATTCAGATCTTATTAGAGATTTACACGGATTGAGTTAAAGCGAGTAGTATATAGATTTATAGCATTTAGAGCAGCTTTCACCCTTTGTATGGAAAGGAGATAAAAGAAAATATTGGAGGGAAAAAAATAATAAAGGAAAATAATGATCAATTGTTAACTTCTTTTCCACGGTTATTTTGTTTACGTGGTTCACCCTCAACTGTTTAGGGTTATGTCCACGGGACAAATTCCGAATCATTCTTCCACTATTAAAATAGTAGGTACACAAAGAGAGTAATGCAAAAATAGTGGCACACAAAAGTGTTTTCCAAAAAACACCCCATAATATAATGCAAAGAATAGTGGCAGCACAAAAAGTGTTTTTCCCCAAAACAACCCATAAATAATTTCCATTCACTATTTTTCCCTCTCCCCTAGTTTTAGGATGTTCCTAAAAACTAGAATAACATAACTCTCTCTACATTTTGTGTCCTTCGTCTTTCCTGCTAAATGTGTTGTGTTTGAGTGTGCAGTCTGCCGTCATATTTTAGAATAGGCGAGGAATAACAAGAAGGAGGTATTTGTGAGAGCCGTGTGTGAAGTTACACACGGCTCTCCATATTTATGTCATAAGTTGGGTTGCCAAACCTTCAACCTACACCTATTTTCAATTAAACACGTTTTTTCCTCTTATTTTTTTTTCTTTTCCAAAAGCGGGTGGGTCCCACATGTCGGAGAGGACAACACAACAATTGCTCCCCGCCTGGACGACATGGTGGGGACTACTCACATTCTTGACGGCTTTGACACATCAGCTCAGACTTCCCGTTTGCCTCAGGTTGTTGACAGAGCAAAACTACACTTCTGTAATGCTTGACTACCGACAACAGCAACTCCCCCTGCAAAATGTGATTGGATATTCTTGAAAATCCAATTTCAGCTGCAGTCCAAAGTGTTCCCTTTCAAGATTTGAAAGAAATCGAAGCTCACTAACTTCCACACTGAGTGAGCAATAATCCTGGCCCGTGATACAAATCATGGCATACATTAAGCCTTACCAACTGCTGTTGAAGCCCATATGGGAAAAAGTCTTTTCCATCTCGTTCCTCTCTCCATCGTAGAAGGGGCAACTGTTTAAAGAAACTCAATTTAAAAAGTGATCAGTAAGAGGACAGAACTAACCTGATTTAGCGTTTTCCATTCCTAAACCTTTGGAATACTTCCCTCA